AAAAGACTAACAGCAAATGTTGGTGGACAGAGTCAGTGGGTAGTAATAGTTTCTGTGACCTCAGATTTTTCAGCAGTTTATATGACCGGTATATTGACTATATAATACTTTGTATTTCTCATTTAAATTTTTTCAGTTGTGTTAGTATTATGTTTTTCCCCTATTTTTCAGAATAAATTCCTTTTATGATTAGATTATAAAATAGATTTAATGTCTTGCAGGTTAAAATCATTGAATATTTTCATGAGGTTTTATATGGGTTTGGGCAAGTAACTCTGCCCCTGTATTAACCTGTTTGAAAAATCTCATGCTATGATAGAAAATGCTACTATCCGCATCCAGAGAAAGAACTAAGGAGTCTGAATACAGATCGAAGCATACTATTTTCTCTCTCTCTCTTTATCTCTCTCTCTCTCTCTCTCTCTCTCTCTCTCTTTCGGTGTGTTTTCTTTCTCATGGTTTTTCCCTTTGGTTCTGATTGTTCTTTACAACATGACTAATTGGAAATATGTTTAATATGATCATACATGTATAGCCTATATCAGATTGCATGCTGTCTTGGGGAGGGGGGGTAGTGGAGGGAGGGTGGAAAATTTAGAACTCAAAATCTTATAAAAGCAAATGTTCAAAACTAAAAATAAATAAATTTTTTAAAAAAACCAACTCATGCTGCCTTATGTAGTAATGTTCATGTTCTGATTCATTAACCAAAGTGTTATTTGAAAGGTGATTATATTCAACTAATTTGATACCTTCTCATTTGGGTACTAATTCACTGAAGTATAAAATTTGCCAGTTTAACATTTCTTAAATTGAATTCAAAAAGAAATTGATTAAAATACAAATGCTTCTCAAGATACTGAATAGCATATTTTGTTATTTGGCAACTTCTTTTATGGTGGGTATGTATATTATATTGTCCTTAGATGAACACAGCATTTAGCAATTTATAAAACATCTTTCTGTTCTAATTTCTCTTGAGTTTTTTAGAATCTTATGGGCTAACACAGTGTCAGAATGTTTGCTCCTTTCAAATCCTGGAAGGAATTTTTTATTTTTTAGCTCTTAAAGGAAAAAAATAAAAAATAACTCTTGTTACAAAGCTCCATACTTTGAAAATATCTTAATTACTTTCTTTGGCCAGAGTAATTTTTTAATGAGAGGTACATCATAGATAATCTACAGCCTCCACATTTATTTTCTTACCCTATCTGCTGTCAAATGAAGGGGTAAGAGATCTTTCTCTGAGGCTAACCACTCTGCTTGTGCTCTAGATACTGTCTTTATCTTATTCCTGAAAGATACTGCTTCCGTAGTTAATAAATAGCTCCATCTTCTTTTCCTATCTGTTCTCAGACATGTAATTTTTCTCATTAAAAGTTAGTTGATTCAGTTTGTTCCTTTTAGGTACTGTTTTATTTTGGTCTCCTTCCTTTTGCTATTAAACTTTTAAAACACTGGGTCTAAATTTACTGTCTCCATTTTTTCATTATCCACTTTTTCCTTAACCTCCTACAATCTGGTGGCTATCCCTATAACTCTTATGAAATTGCTGTTTGGAAGATAAACCACTTACTAATTACTTTATTGTCAAATGTAGTGACATCATATTTTTTTAAATTCTCTTCTGCTTTTAACCCTGAACTGTCTCCTCTCTTCCTTCTCCCACCTTTTGAAATTCTACCCAGACTTTAAAATCTAACATAGATGCCACCTCTGTTAGGGACATAGGCTAATAGAGCTCAGGGTAACCTTAAAGAGATCATAGTCCTGTCCTTCTGTGTAACTTTGGTCAACATACTTTGCTTTTTGTGCCTGTTTTCTCAGTTTTTAGGAGGCATGTATAACTCACTGGAGGGGTTAATCCTTAAACTTTCTGTTTTTCTCCCTCTGGATCTTCTCATCCATTCTCATGATTTCAATTGTTAGTCTACTCATTATTACTAGTTATCTCTCATCTAAATTCTAGTTCTCTATTTTTTAATTGGAAAAAAAATTTAATTTTAAAAGAGAAAAAGAGGTGAAAGAATAAGCATCTTGAGGGCTGATGTAACTTTTTTTCTTTAAATAATTTATTTATTTTTAGTTTTCAACATTCACTTCCATAAGATTTTGAGTTTTAAATTTTCTCCTCCACTCTCTCTTCCCTCCTCCCCAAGACAGCGTGTAATCTGATATAGGCTCTACTTATACATTCATATAAAGCATATTTTCCCATTAGTCATGATGTAAAGAAGAATTAGAACTGATGGGAGAAACTATAAGAATGAGGCAATAAAACAAAACAACAAAAGAAAAGGAGAGCAAATAGTTTGCTTTGATCTGCATTCAGACCCCATAGTTCTTTCTCTGGATGTGGATAGCATTTTCCATTGTGAGTCTATTGGAGTGTCTTAGGTCCTTGCATTGCTGAGAAGAGCCATAGTTGATATTTTCAACTGCAAACAATGTAACACTATCACCTTAAACTAAATGTGACCTTTCCCTTTTTTCTGACCCTACTCTGGGTTTCCCTGCAATGTTTGAAACTGGCACTGTTCACCATCCTCTCTTTCTAACTAGACTCTCTTCTTTGGCTTCCCTGGCATTGTACATTCATGGTTCTCCTTCATCCTTTTCCTAACCCAGTAATGTGGCTGTTCCTTTCTGCTCTTGGTCCTCTCGTCTTACCATTCTCTGTTCTTTCTCAGTGATCTCATCCACTCTGTTATCATCAATTATAACTTCTATTCAGATTCTACTCTCTTCTTCCCCCTTTCCCCTTTCTCTTTCAAGCCTATAGTTTTATGTTATGATACTTTTTTATAATATTATTTTTATTTTCAATTTAACCAATTAAATGGGCAATTCCACACACAAGGTGTATAATTTTGATTTTTCTTTTATGTATATACTATATTCAAGATATAATTTTCAAAGATTTTCTGCTTATCTGTTTCCTTTCATATTTTTGTACATTTTGAAAAAATGCTCCAAGGATTTTTTTTCTTCTTTTTTTTTGGCCATTTAATTTATCCCTGACCTCCCCCCCCCCGCCAATTGAAAAATACAGAAAAGGAAAATCAAAAGAAGTGTGCATAGACAAGTAAAAGAGATGTTTCATTCTGTACCTTGAGTCCATCAGCTTTCTGTCAGGAGGTGGTCCAGAGGATAATCATTGGTTTTCCTGAAACTAACCTTTTCATAATCTTATATTTCATATCAAAGCTATCTATAGTCATGAAAAAAATGCTCTAAATCACTACTGATTAGAGAAATGCAAATTAAAACAACTCTGAGGTACTACCTTATCAGATTGGCTAATGTGACAGAAAAGGAGAATAATTGGGGGATGTGGGAAAATTGGGATACTGATGCACTCTTGGTGGAGTTGTTAATGGATCTAACCATTCTGGAGAGCAATTTGGAGATTTTTTAAAAGGATGGAAGGGGGGAGGACCTATTTGTACAAAAATATTTATAGTAATTTTTTGTAGTGGCAAAGAACTGGAAGTTGAGATGTCCAGCAACTGGGGCATGGCTGAACAACTTGTGGTAAATAATTGTAATGCAATACTACTGTGCTATAAGAAATGATGAAGAGGCTAATTTCAGGAAAACCTGGGAAGACTTAACATTATGCAGAGAAGTGAGCAGAACCAGGAAAACATCATACACAGTAATAATAATACTGTACAGTGAAGAACTGTGAATGATTTAGCTGTTTTCAGCAATAGTGATCCTAGACAATTCCAAAGGACTCATAAAAAATGCTATTCACCTCTAGAGAAAGAACTGATGGAATTTAAATGCAGATTGAAGCATACTGATTTTCACTTTATTTTTTTTCCTGAGGTTTTTTTCCTTTGCGTCTGCATCTTTCCAACATGACTAATATGGTTACACACATACACACATTTCATTACATTCATATACCATAATTTGTTCAGCCATTCCCCAATTGATGGGCACTCCCTTAATTTTCATTTAATTTCTATAATAAAAAGTTTCTATAAATATTTTTCTACATATGGGGTCCTTTTCCTCTTTATTTGATCTTGAAGTTTGGACATAGTAGTCTATGTGATAAAGAATATAGTTTAGTGATTTTTGAGGCATAATTCTCAATTGCTTTCCAGAATGTAGTTTTCCCTTTTTTGCCATCTTTGCTAAAAACAGGTGTCAGATGGAACCTCAGAGTTGCTTCAATTTGTGTTTCTCCGATTATTGGTGATTTAGAGCAATTTTTTCCATAGGGTTATTGATTAGCTTGGGTTTCTTCCTTTGAGAACTGTCTGTTCGTATTCTTTGACCATTTATCTATTGGTTAATGACTCTGATTCTTAAATTTTGGTGAGGCAATCAGGGTTAAATGACTTGCCCAGGGTCACACAGCTAGTAAGTGTCATGTGTCTGAGGCCAGATTGTACTCAGGTCCTCCTGACTCCAGGGCTGGAGCTCTATCTACTGTGCTACTCAGCTGCCCCTAATCCTTAAATTTTAAATCACTTCCTTATATATCTTGGATATGAAACTTTATCCAGGAAACTTCAGATTTTTTTTCTCAATTAATTGTTTCCCTTATAATTTTAACTATTGGTTTTGTTGATGCAAAACCTTTTTGGTTTTATGTAATAAAGATTGTCCATTTTATCTGCTATAATCTTTTTATTCTTTGATTGTGAACTATCCTTGTGCATCATTATAAAAGTTAATTTCTTCCTTATTCCTCTTTTTGACAGTTTTTTTCTGTGATCAGGTGACTGCCACTCCATAGAAAACATTTTTAATTTTGAACCAAAATTTACATCCTACGTGAAATAATAGTTTAAAATATTGGCATCGTTGCTAATTTCATATTATGCAGAATGCTTATCACTTTGTATTTTTAAAAACATTATATCACAAAGATAAATATTTACAGTATTTGCAAGTATAAATTTAGTTACAAAGTCTATATATTTATTATTGTATGGTTGTGTCACTTGTTTTTAATATTTTTTCTAATGTTTTTCCTGTAGGAGAAATGTTTTCATCTGGGGATAAACAAGAGGTGGAAATCAGAGGCTGTTCTGTTTGGTGTGTTGAGCTGATTCGAGATCGACTTCTAAAACTTGTTGAAGAAAAGGGAGTAAAAATCTGTATAGAAATAAATTCAATTCTTCTTGATTATTACTTATGGGACTATGCCAGGGATCACAGGGAAGATATGAAAGGAATTCCATTTCATCGCATACGATGCATATATTATTGATTATAATAAGTTCTAGTCAATCAGACCCCAGAGTTTTGTAACATATAATCAGCTGTGCACCTTGTCTTTTAATATGGTTAACCAGGAAAAACTATAGCACAAACTATGGGGAAGAACAAGGATTATTTCACTCTTTCTTATCTACTACTGTGCATTCCAGATTTGATTTTTTGTTTGATCATGTTTTATTCTTTACCTCTTAGTGCTCTAATTTCAGTATTCCAATTTTTCTTACTGCAAAATTTCTTTTAAAAAGTTAATCATAAGGACAGCTAGGTGGTGCAGTGGATAGAGCTCTGGCCTTGAAGTCAGGAGGATCTGAGTTCAAATCCGGTCTCAGACACACAACACAGTGTACTAGCTATGTGACCTCGGGCAAGTCACTTAACCCCAATTGCCTAGCAAAAAGCAAAAAAAAAAAAGCATAAAAAGTTAATCATACCTTTTAAATGTCATCAATTTTCAGAGGGATTTTGCAACCATTCCTTGAGTTGATAATCCTTATTTTATATACATTTTCCACTAGCTACATTCATCTGTTTAAAATTCTCATATATGTATATGTGATCACAGGTTGCATTTAAGTGGAAAAAGGGGAATCGTGTGTATATTCACATGAAAGTGTCTTTAAAGATTTTAATAACACTTCTACCAATAATGATGCTGTTGCAAAAATCAAGGGACGGAGTTGTAATTATGTTTGGTATGTAACAGTCACTACAAGATTAAAGATTCTTTTTGATGTAGTCTACCTTGTAAATGTCTGATTTGGAATTGAATAAACTTTTTTATACAAATATTAAACTATTTTTTAAAGTCGTGTAATTTTGAGAGCCTAATAAAGCATCAGACACTTAACAAAACAGCTTTATGTGCATCTTTAAAATACGATTCTGAGTTTGGCATGAAAATTTTTAAAAGTATATATATTCGACTCCAGTCGCCATACTCTGATTTTGTCACATAATTTTGCCTCCATGAGGAAAAAGGATGGTGGAAAAGAGCACCGGATTTAGAATCAGAAGACATGGTTGAGAATCCTGAATGCCCGTGTGACCCTAGGCAAATCACATGCCTCTGCACCTCTGAAATGAGGCAATCAGACTAGAGGTTCTTAAGGGGCCCCTGCTGCTCCAGATCCTACGAGTCTGGATGTTCAAAGTGGGACATGTTCTCGCCCCTGGGCCTTGGTGGAGAGGGTAAGGAGGGAAGAGGCCCACGGAGCTCGTGACGGATGCACTGCTCTTGTCACGGGCCAGGAGCTACACACACGCACACTAAAAGGAGACGCACCCGTGCAGTGAAGGGGGCAGCAAGAGCCTAACTCAAGGTCAAGGTTAAAAGCATTTCCGGGGCAGCAGCCTTTCAGGCAAATCACTAGGCGCGGATTGCTTTACTTACTTCCCGTGCGTTGATCCGAGGTCGTTTCCATGGTGACCCAGTTCCTGCTGTCTTGGGGCTGGGACGGGTTTGGAAGGCGTTGAGGTTTTATTATGAGGCGTGGTTGAGAGGGGAAAAGCTCGTGCGCCCCATCCGCGCCCTTCTCCCAGCCACGGGGGAAAGGATGAGCATTCAGTGCCTCTTCAAGAGGGATTTTTGTAGGTGGACTGTTTCCTCTGAGGGCCGCACATGCGCAGCGGGCTCCAGCGCTCGCCTCTGGGGTGGGCCAGAAGGCTCCGCCCTCCTCTTCCTCCGGGTGTCGTGTCTTCTCTGATGTCTTCCCCAGCCGAGGCCATGTGCAGCTGTGTCGTGTTTGAGAGATGTGTTTGGGGCAGGAGCGCCATTCTCTGTTGAATTTTTTTTTTTTCTGGAAGGGCCTGAGAAAATAATAATTTACATTAAATGCTATTAAGGAGGGAGGAAAAGGACTAGGAGAAATGATAGAACCCTCTATTTCCGGAGAAGGCGTCTCTGTCAGGGTTGGGGAGGGCCGGCTATTTCGGGTAATTACCGATTTACAAAAGCAAAAAGGCAGCAATAAAACTTGTTTTAAAGAAGAAATAATAGAAGCTAGCTGTTTCTAAAGGCGGTAGGTAGGTGGCAGAGTGGATAGAGCATTAGACTTGGAGCTGGGAAGACTGGAGTTCCAATCCGGCCTCTGGGTTAGTCCCTTAAGCTCTGTCTGCTTCATTTCCTCAACTGTAAAATGAGAATAATAATGGCACCTACTGTTGTTGTTAGCATAACACATTTATGCAGTGCTTTGCAAACGATAAAGTGTTATTAGAGGAGACTACAAAAGTCAAGTTGATGAGCATTACAAATAGAGCAAATGGAGGGAAAAAATTATGTAGGAGTAACCTCGTTTTCCAGTGGTTGAAAGAGCTTGAATACTAGTGGATTATTTAGATCTTCACCCTTTTAGTTTTTAACTTTACCTTTTATTTTGCTGAGAAAACGGGGCCATCCACTATTACCTGCCCATGTTCCCTCCTTTTCACCCCATTAATATTTGTGTATCCTTTCTTGCTCCCTTCTAGCCTCAGAGAAACATGTGTTTACCCCCTTTCTAAATCAACTTTTCCATTTGTGCTTTTAATCTCATCACTTCTTGTCTGCTGAAGTATTTTTTCCCTTGCTGTTTGTCCTTCTGGAAGAGGACCATGACATCAAGGAGGTGATGCCATAACTTGCAAGTGAATTGAATTTAAGTGAGGGAGGGTTGTGGAAAGTTACCAGCCTTACTTTCTCCTCCGCAAGGTCTGGATCCAGTGGCCAGATATGGTTCAGGACAACTGGAGATGGCTCAGGATGTAGTGGGGGACCTTGGCTTTTTCAAGCTAAGGTCTTTAACAAATCTCAGTTTGCCTGAGGAACTGTCCGTTCAAGTGATTAAGGCTTAATAAAAAATGAGACAAAGAAGGGCTCATGGTCCTCTTCTAGAAGGAAGGACAAACAGCAATTTCCGTGAATAGGAAAGGAGCTGCCCACTGGGGCCTTCTAGAGCTTTCTTCCTTCCTTCCTTTTTTCCTTCCCTCTTTCGTTCCTTCTCTCCTTCCTTCTATTCTGTCTTTCTCTCTTTCACCCCATTACCTGTGGGTAGTCTGCCCCAAGGGACTGTAATTTGTAATTTGAAACTTTTTTTTTCTTAAAGACCAGCCTTAACCCCAAATCACTCTGGCTCTCACAGTTTAGGTCCCCAGCCAAGCCCTACTTGGTCATTGTTTGGGCCCTGATTTGCTCAGGATGAATGTGAATAACAATTGTTGCTATTTTGGCTGAGGGTCTTCCCCTCCCAGATCCATTTTTTCCACTACATTTCTCTTTAAGCCTCTTCCCTGAGGCCCATTCTCCTGATTGGTGAATACTTAGCCCAGGCTGTGCTCACATCCTCACTGTGACCCAGGCTTGACTCCTCCCTCACCTTTGACTTTTTCACTTCCTCAGCAGCCCCTTTGCCCTTTTCCTACATCACTACCACATTCTTCTTCCCTTTTATATGTGGTCTTCCCCTATTAAAATGTAAGCTCCCTAAGGGTAGAGACTATCTTATTTGCTTGTTTTCATACTCTGAGCACTTAGCATAATGCCTGTCTGAATAAGTGCTTAATAATCTGCCTGTCTTTCTCTTCATTAGTGCCTTTATGCTTTAGTCACATACCGACTGCTCACTTTAAATCCCTTCTTCAGACTTCTATGCTGTTTTTTTAAGTGACATCATCCTTGGGCTTAGCCTTTAAAAGCAACTCCTCTTTCTTGTTCCTCCTTTCATCCAGTCACCAACACTCATGATTCTTCCTATATCATGTCTCATATTTGACCCTTCCTTTTCATTCCTACCATTATCACCTTTAATCCAGACCCCTCATCACTTTGCATCTGGATTACTGCAGTTTTAGCCTTGCTGATCTTCCTTACTACAGTCTATTCTATATATTCACACACTTTCCATGCCAACCAAAGTGGGCAATTTGCTGCTGCTTAAAGTCAGTATTTCACCTCCTACCATCTTGCCTTTGCATGTGCTGTCTTGAATTCCAAAATGCACTCCCTCTTCACCTTTATTCTTAGAATCTTTAACTTCCTCAACTCATGTGCCTCCTCCTATGGGAAAATTTTCCTGATTCCCTCCCTAGTTATTAATGTTTTTTCCTGCCCCCAAATATGTTGTATTTATTCAACATTGTATCTTTATAGTAATATATGATGGAATGTATGCTCCTTGAGGGCAGGTACCATCTTTCCACTATCTCTTTAGTATCTACTACAGTAGCTTGCACATTTATTTTTACTAGGCCTGTGATTGCATCAGTGAAAGAATCTCCCAGGTGAGGAACTTTCTTCGGAAATGCATCTCAATACCTTCTCTGTACATATGATAATAATAATATTTACATAGTACCTTATGGTTTACAAAATCCTTTACATGTTATCCTATTTGATCCTTTCAGTAAGCCCAAGAAGTAGATGCTTTTATAATTCCCATTTTACAGATGAAGAAACTGAGGCAAGAAGGCAGTTAAATGCCTTCCCTCAGTGTCACATAGCTAGAATACATCAGAGGTAACATTTGAACCCAGGTATGAGGCTGCACATTGGATAGAGCACTGGGACCTGGAGTCAGGAAGACCTGAGTTTAAATCTAGCCTCAGACACTGTAATGCAGAACATTATTTTACCATTAGGTAGTACGGCCCTTTAGGCCATGGAAAGCAGAAGTTGCTGCTTAATCTTGCCCCAGACCTCTTTCCTCCTAAATCTAAAGATAGTGAAATGTACTCTTGCATAGCTTAAGCACAGCCCATACCTCCAGCGCAAATGGATAAGAAAGCTTGCAATATAATTGCTTTAGATAATTATGTTTATGTCAGAAACCAGGACACCTGGTCTGGTTTGTGTGATCCCTGACCTGTAATGATGCTTGTGCTTATACTTTTGCCCCAAAAATGCCCACCTAGTCTCAGAAACACTATCTCTGACAACCACTCCCCAGCCCAAGGACACTGTGCCTAGCAATATTCATGCATGACCCTTATCTGGCTGCTCAGGCCCCAGCCCTCAGATCATATCTCTGGAAGCCTCCAAATTCCTTAGTTGTGAGAAAGTTTTTTCCTTTGTTGCAGAGCATTCTCATGTCTAGACAGAGGGAGAGGGGTGTCCTTGACCAGCCCAAGAACTCTTCCTCTTGCCAGGCTTCAAAGATCCATCCCCCTCCCTGTGCTGTATACTCCCTATATAAACCCTAGCTCAACCCCTGATGGGGGCTGCTTGATTTGGATGTGAATACCCCTGGCAGCCACGTGCTAATAAAGTCCACAATTTAAATTAGTCTGGGTATAAC